ACACCACCAAGTCAAGGGTTAAGATCCCCTTACCAGTCATCTTTAAAAAAAAAAAAAAGAAATGGCATGGAAAAGAAATAATATTATTTAATATTAAATGATATTATTATTATTAATAATACTTATATTACTTAATATTATTTAATATTATTTAAATACAGTATTCAAAGAAATAATAACAGAAAACTTCCCAGGTATAGGGAGAGACACAGACGTTCAGATCCAGGAGGCTCAAAGATGTTGAAAATGATTCAACCCAAAAAGATCCTCTCTGAGACACATTATAGTCAAACTGGCAAAGCTCAAAGACAAAGAGAGAATCTTAAAAGGAGCAAGAGTAAAGTATCAAGTCACTTATACAGGAGCCCCTACCAGACTAACAGCAGACTTCTCAACAGAAACTCTACAGGCCACAAAAAAATGGGATTATATATTCAAAATACTAAAAGAAAAAAACTGCCAGCCAAGAATACTATACCCAACAAGGCTATCCTTCAGAAATGAGGGAGAAATAGTATATTTTTCAAACAAACAAAAACTGCAGGAGTTCACCACCACACAACCAGCCCTGCAAGAAATTCTCAAGGGAGTCCTACATCAGGAATCTGAAAAACAATAATCCCTCATCTTACTTGCTATGGTTCTGATCAAACTATCTGTTTTTTCATGATTCAGTCTTGGTACGTGGTTTCCAGGAATTTATTCATTTCATCGAGATGATCTAATTTGTTGACCAACAATTATTCATAATATTCTCTTGTGACCCTTTTGATTTCTGTAAATTTGGTTGTAATGAACCCTTTTTCATATCTGATTTTGGTTATTTGAGTCTTCTTTTTTCTTAGTCCATGTAGGTAAAGGTTTGTCAATTTTGTGGATCTCATCAAAGTACCAACTTTCAGTTTCATTGATTTTTCTCTATTTTTTTCCTAATCTCTATTTCTTTTATCTATGCTCTAATTTTTATGGTTTACTTCCTTTGCTATGTGTGGGCTTAGTTTGCTCTTCATTTTCTAGTTTCTTAAGGTGCAAAGGTGATTGTTAATTTGAGATCTTTCTTTTTTATTAATGTATGCATTTACATTAAATAAATCTCCCTTTTAGCAAAAATGAATAAATAAATAAATAAATAAAATGGTAGGGAATGCCACAGAGACTTTATATGTAAAATACACTTATCCATTTTGACTGTTGAGAATCTTTATTATATTCAAATTCCTAGATTCTGTTTTAATATACCATACTTGCTGATCTTCCTTCTTCTTTAATAAAGAACAATGAACATAAAATATTTTTTAAAAAATTAATTAAAAAAACTTTATTAGAAATTCCAATAAAAATGTAAGCATAGCAACCCAAATTTGTACTCTATATTTTTCTGGTTTTGAAAGTATACACACTTGAAATGGGCAATGCTTTTTAAATGCAATTAACTGCCCGTCAACTGTTATACACGGACCTGGAGCACCATCCTGAGAATACTGATTCCAGATGTACAAAATATACCCAGTAGGCTCTAGCTCACTACTGCTTCTGCTGCTTTTTCTTGTACTGTCAAAATGCAGTACTTTTGAAAACTTGATGGCTTATAATTTGCTTGAAAAGAGGATGGCAGTCCTTTGATACACAATCATAAAGCCTGTGAGGTTGATCAACCCAATGAAGGTTTTCATTTCTACATCATCTGTTTTCTTCCAAACACCTTTGTATACATACCTGCCTTGAGCATTTGTCCACTTAGGAACTGTATTAAGTAAATTTTTTTGCATCTATCACAAACCTAGTCACATAATTGTTAAATGTATTCTTATATATTTTTATTTATTAAATATTTACCTTAATTCTTCATAAACCTACAAGATTTAGAGGCCACTGAATTCCCACCCAGTAGGGCTCTTAGTGGATAGTGGAAACTCAGGAATGTGGCTGACTAGATGCTTTGTGGAATATCAGAAAGGCTAAGGCACTGGCAAGAAACAAACACCCAACCCAAACTGGTTATAACTTATGATTTAAACCCGAAGTGCAAACTTAAATGCCCATGGGAGTAAGACAAACATACAAGACAACTGGGAGTGGTATAGACAAAGGTGAACTAACAAAAGCTTATTGCTCCTTAATCATTAAAATTAAAATTATTTTGTTTTTACAATTGTTTGGGGGAGAGGGATCAAACAAAACAGTGGAAGGAAGATTTAGGTCTTTGAGTAACAATCAGGATCCGTGATTACACACTACTTAGTTCCAAAAGCGATCAAAGATGGCTTATAAATGACAACCATACATGTAACGAGATGATTAAGTACAAATAGGAAATACCAGACCTAAAGGGAGTAGGAAAGAGGGGGACAACTGTATGAGAAAACTGAGGTGATAGAGTGATTGTAAATAACCCCTTTATTTGTCCATAAGCTTCCTAAAAGTAAAAGCTATATACACTTCTGGGGCCGGCCTGTGGCTCACTCGGGTGAGTGCGGTGCTGATAACACCAAAGCCACGGGTTCGGATCCCATATAGGGATGGCCGGTTGCTCACTGGGTGAGCGTGGTGCTGACAACACCAAGTCAAGGGTTAAGATCCCCTTACCGGTCATCTTTTATTTAACAAAAAAAAAAAAAGCTATATACACTTCTGGGGCCGGCCTGTGGCTCACTCGGGTGAGTGCGGTGCTGATAACACCAAGGCCACGGGTTCGGATCCCATATAGGGATGGCCGGTTGCTCACTGGGTGAGCGTGGTGCTGACAACACCAAGTCAAGGGTTAAGATCCCCTTACCGGTCATCTTTTATTTAAAAAAAAAAAAAAAAGCTATATACACTTCCTATTCACTGATACCTGGAAACATTTGCCTGTTTTCCAGCAGAAGAAATTTTTTCCTGCCCCTGTACCCCACACATATAGGACCCACTTCGTTTAGACAGAAAAACCCATTTAGGACAAGAACAGCCATCCTCATCTGTGGAAGGACAGATATCTTCAAAGATTTATCTGCAGCCCCCACAGTAAAAAAGAAAAAGATTACTTGAACTATAGAACTAAAGAACTAAAATATCCCACAGGAAAGAGACTACATTAGGTTGTGATTTAGCAAATCAGCTACAGGAAAATGTCGTAGTAACAATAAAATCTGATTGAATTTTACTGGCCCAAGTATATAAACACAAGCAGCCACATTTCTGAAAATGTTAAGAGCGCCTTCTACTGACGGCACTGACTCACAAAGACAGCTTTGCCTCCCTTTCTCAAGTGAGATAAAGCAAATTACATAATTACCATTAGTGCCACTCTCTTAAATAAACCAATCCACCTGAAAACAAAGAACAGCAACAGAGCTCTAAGGGATCCCTCTAGAGCAAGGGAGAGGAGACACACACCACCAAGTACTTACTGCAGCTGTGGTACAATCCCAGAGCTCTCAGAGGCTGGTGTGGCAGGAGTAATGGGGGTCATGGGGGTCATGGGGGAGGGATACAGGGGAGTGGTGCCCGGCAAGGGTGCAGTTGTAAGAGTCTGTGAATGGAAGAGCTGAGGTGTTTGGCCTGAGGCACCCTGTGTTGCCTGCTGGGATGTTGACTGCTGAACTGCTGCTGCTGCAGTGGCTGCTGCCTGCTGCTGCTGCTGCTGCTGCTGTTGCTGCTGCTGCTGCTGCTGCTGCTGCTGTTGCTGCTGCTGCTGCTGCTGCTGCTGCTGTTGCTGCTGCTGCTGCTGCTGCTGCTGCTGTTGCTGCTGCTGCTGCTGCTGCTGCTGCTGTTGCTGCTGCTGCTGCTGCTGCTGCTGCTGTTGCTGCTGCTGCTGCTGCTGCTGCTGCTGTTGCTGCTGCTGCTGCTGCTGCTGCTGCTGTTGCTGCTGCTGCTGCTGCTGCTGCTGCTGTTGCTGCTGCTGCTGCTGCTGCTGCTGCTGTTGCTGCTGCTGTTGTTGCTGCTGCTGTTGCTGCTGTTGCCTTTGTTGCTCTTCCAAAATAGACAGACTATTGGTGTTCTGAATAGGCTGTGGAGTCAGTCCTGTGCCATAAGGCATCATTGGACTAAAGATGGGGATTCCAGGAGTCATGGCACCCTGTGGAAAGCAAGGAGAACAATGGGTTAGGCTGACTGGTGTTGAGTTTTTGTGGGACTTGCCTGGTAGAACAGCAGATGAGATGTGTAAAGACAAATGCCTTCTGAGCATAATGGGTTATTAAACATTATTACGGAGGAATTTGCTATTCTTATGCACAGCACTTTCTTCTTCAATATAGCATAGTAGATAAGAGCTTAGGATTTGGGACCCAACTCTGCTACTTATTACATGTGAGAACTTGAGGAAGTTGCCTAACCTTTCAGGCATATCTAGGGGATAATAATGGTCTAAGATCATTAGAAAGAATGAGGGAGATAACTACAGAGAGCACACATTCCTATTTAAACTATTATCCTAGCATCTGGGTAGTTCCCCATTTCACTCTCAAAGTATCTGTCCCAGTCTGGATGATAAATTATATAGTTACCCTACAGATATTCACTTAACAGTGTTCAACACAATGATATGCATATAAAAAGTACTGAAGTGTTAGCATTAGAACACGTTTCAAAAAGGCTGATCATATGCTCTCCCAAAAGTGTAAATCAACAAAATCTATCAAATAGTATCAGTTTACTTTTCTATAATGCTTCTGAACTTTTCCAGACACTGTTACATTCATTAATTTATCTATCTCTCATGGCAGCTCTTGGGAAAAGGGAAAACAGAGCTGTTCTTCACATATTAATGATAAGAAAACTGACACCCAAAGAAGTTAAATGACTTGACTAAGATCACACAGCTCATAAGTAAATGAGCCAAGATCACAATCAAGTTTTCCTGAGACCCAGCCCAATGCTTTCCCCATGGCACCTAAATCTGCAGACCCCATGGAGCCTACAGAGAGCTCATAATGGCTTTGTGAACCTCTGAACATTATATGCAATATTCTGTGTTAATTGTCTGTGAGAGTCCACGGTTTTCATTAGAGTATCAAAAATGTGTAAGACCCCAAAAAAGAGCCACAATCCTTTCCCACTTCCACCACTTTATTGGGCCGAAAGCACAAGCTAAAAACATCTAAGATATTTAAATTGTTTCACTCACATAGTGGCAGAAAGAATATGAAAGAAGAAAATATATACTATACCCCTAACAGTACAGGTATTATTCTATTATGTCTGTCACTTATTTCTACAAAAATACTGGCTAGAAAAAAATTGAGGTTACATCAGTTTAAAATACTAAGACTAAGGTTTTAAATGGTCTGTCTTACTTTAGGTCATATACAAAAATTAACCCAAAATGAATTACAGACACACATGTAAAGCTAAAACTACAAGGAATAAATCCTTATGACTTTGGGTAGACAAAGATTTCTTAAGACACAAAAGCACTAACCATAAAGAAAAATTGATAAATTAGACTTCAGAAAAAATTAACTTTTGCTCTTTGAAAGACACCATTAAGAAAATTAAAAGGCAAGCCACAAGCCACAAAGGCAAGCCACAGACTGGGAGAAATCATCTATAATACATACATCTGAATATGGACTCGTAAAGAGAATACATAAAGAGCTCTTACAGCTCAATAAAGGAAGATGAACAAATAAACCATTAAAAAGTGGGCAAAAGATATGAAGGACATTTTACAAGTGAAAACATATAAATAAACAATAAGCACTTGACAAGACGCTCAGGATCATTATTCATCAGGAAAATAAAAATTAAAACCACAGTGACATACTACTAAGCAACCATGAGAATAGCTCAAGGTAAAAAGACTGACAACCCTAAGTTGGTGAAGATGTGGAACAGCTAGAAATCTCCCACACTGCTGGTAGAACTGCAGAACAGTACAGCCACTTTAGAGAACAGTTTGGCAGTTTTTTATATAGCAACGTTAAACACACTTACATATGTACTAGCAATCCCACTCCTAAGTATTTACCCATGAGAAATAAAAGCACATTGTACACAAAGTCCGTACACAAATGTTGATAGTTCCTTTATTCCTAATGGCCCCAAACTGGAAATAACCCAAATGCCAGCAACTGGAAAATGGATAAACTGTGGTACATCCACACAATGGAGAACTACTTGGCAATAAAAAGGAACTAACTTTTGATATACAAATGTTATACTGGACAAAGAAGACAGACACACACAAAAAAGCATATGAAATTCGAGAATAGGCAAAACCCATCTTTAGTGTCGAAAAGCAGATTCACTAGTTAGCTGGGGCTAAGAAAGTGACTGCAGGGCCGAGCCCATGGCGCACTCAGGAGAGTGCGGCGCTGGGAGCGCAGCAGCGCTCCCGCCGCGGGTTTGGATCCTATATAGGGATGATCCAAGCGCTCACTGGCTGAGCGCGGTGCAGCCAGTCTCAAGACAGACAAAAAAAAAAAGTGACTGCAAAGGGGCAGGAAGGGACTGTCTGGGGTAACTGAAATGCTCTATAATTTACACAGGTGCATTTAATTATCAAAACATACACTTAAAATGGGCATTTTTACTGTATGTAAATTACAGTTCAACAGAGGATACTGAAAATTTGTTTTATAGACAAATACAAGTACATAATTTACCTTTCAAACAAACTCCTCAAATAAAACACTATTGTGTCTATTAAAAGCCTAACAGAACTTCTCAACAAAATAAGGGAGGCAGGGCCAGCCTGTGACTCACTCGGTAGAGTGCGGTGCTGGTAACACCAAGGCCACGGGTTCGGATCCCATATAGGGATGGCCGGTTCGCTCACTGGTTGAGCATGGGGCTGACAACACCAAGTCAAAATAAGGGAGGCTTTCTTCATGTGTCTGTTGGCCATTCGTATATCTTCCTTTGAGAAATGCCTATTCAGCTCCTTTGCTCATTTTTTAATTGGGTTATTTTTTTTTTTGCTGTAAAGATGTTTGAGCTCCTTGTATATTCTGGATATTAATCCTTTTGTCAGATGTATATTTTGTAAATATTTTCTCCCACTCAGTTGTTGTCTTTTCACTCTGTTGATCATTTCTTTTGCTGTGCAGAAGCTTTTTAGTTTGATATAGTCCCATTTGTTTATTTTTCCTTTAGTTGCCTGTGCTTTTGGGGTCATATTCATGAAGTCTGTACCCACTCCTACTCCCAGCATTCAGGAAATGCAAATCAAGACCACTCTGAGATACCATTTCACTCTAGTCAGGATGGCTAATATCCAAAAGACTGAGAAGGATAAGTGCTGGAGAGGTTGTGGAGAAAAAGGAACTTTCACATATTGTTGGTGGGACTGCAAAATGGTACAGCCTTTATGGAAAATGGTATGGAGGTTCCTCAATTACAGATAGATCTACCATATGACCCAGCTATTCCGCTGCAAGGAATATAGTCAGAGGAATGGAAATCATCATGCCAAAGGGATACCTGTTCTTCAATGTTTACTGCAGCACTATTTACAATAGCCAAGAGTTGGAACCAGCTCAAATGTCCATCATCAGATGAGTGGATAAGGAAACTGTGGTATATCTACACTATGGAATTCTACTCTGCTATAAAAAACAATGAAATACTACCATTCCCAACAACATGGATGGACTTAGAGAAAATTATATTAAGTGAAATAAGTCAGGCACAGAAAGAGAAACACCACATATTCTCACTTATTTGTGGGAGCTAAAAAATTAATAAATAAATACATAAACAAATAAAGGGGGGGGAGAAGATACAACAATCACAACAATTCCTTGAACTTGTTAAGACAAGTGAACAGATATGATGTGGGGGGGGGGAGGGAGGAAGAGGAATGGGTAAAGGGTCACGAAAATCAACTACAAAGTACATTGAGAAGTTAAAATAAAAATAAATAAACAAACAAAATAAGGGAAGCTTTGAAAATTTTCAATAACAGATCATTAAATGCACTTCCTTCCCTTTGATACTGTCTTCAGCAGTGATGGAAAATGGTATGGAGGTTCCTCAATTACAGATAGATCTACCATATGACCCAGCTATTCCACTGCAAGGAATATAGTCAGAGGAATGGAAATCATCATGCCAAAGGGATACCTGTTCTTCAGTGTTTACTGCAGCACTATTTACAATAGCCAAGAGTTGGAACCAGCTCAAATGTCCATCATCAGATGAGTGGATAAGGAAACTGTGGTATATCTACACTATGGAATTCTACTCTGCTATAAAAAACAATGAAATACTACCATTCCCAACAACATGGATGGACTTAGAGAAAATTATATTAAGTGAAATAAGTCAGGCACAGAAAGAGAAACAACACATATTCTCACTTATTTGTGGGAGCTAAAAAATTAATAAATAAATACATAAACAAATAAAGGGGGGGAGAAGATACAACAATCACAACAATTCCTTGAACTTGTTAAGACAAGTGAACAGATATGATGTGGGGGGGGGGAGGGAGGAAGAGGAATGGGTAAAGGGTCACGAAAATCAACTACAAAGTACATTGAGAAGTTAAAATAAAAATAAATAAATAAACAAAATAAGGGAAGCTTTGAAAATTTTCAATAACAGATCATTAAATGCACTTCCTTCCCTTTGATACTGTCTTCAGCAGTACAGATGTCTGCCCTCCCTCCTGCTGTATTACCTGAGGGGAGGCCAAGCCCTGAGCGTAAGGTGGCAGGCTGCTGTTCTGATCCATGATGTTCACTTTCTTTTGAGCAAACCAGATACCCTAGGACTGGAACTCGTCTCAGCATTCAGTCTTTTCCTAGAGCATCCCCAGCACACTCTTCTCAGCAACTTCCTCAATTCTCTGCGTTTTCCTCACACACCAAGAAACAGCGATGCTGCTTTGAAAAAAGTTTGAAGTTTAATGTGAGCATACAGGTAACAGGTACAATGTTATAAGCCAATTTTGTGGTTACACAAAACACAAACAAGAAAAGCAATGAAGCTACTTTGGGATACATTTCTTTTTACCTTATAATCCTAAAGCCTTATTCCTTCCATGTTTCCTGTGACTGCATGCAAAATTGCCAACAGAACAAATATTGTTTTGTTACATGTTTAAATACTATGATGATACTCAAAATTAAGGTGTCATAACAGAATTCAAAACTTTTAGTGGAAAACACCTAGAGAAAACTAATTGCTAAGTAAACTATAATATCAAGCAGAATACTTATTAAGCACTGTATACACAGCACTGTTAGGCCAAGTTCATTCAGGTTTTTAAAAATTCCACTCAATGTCTTGGGCATAAAGTTCAATAAATACAAAGATAAATAAAACATTGTATTTTTATAAATATAATAACCTTACTTCTTTAGAGCACATTAATGCAAACTGTGACTATATCTGGCTTTTTTTTTTTTTTTTTTTTTTTTTTTTCCGTGTCCGGCAACGGATCGCAACCCTCGGTGCTGCCCCCTCGCCTCGCTCAGCCAGTGAGCGGGAACCGGTCTGTATGTGGGATCCGAACCCTTGGCGGGAGCGCCGCCACGCTTCCCAAGCGGCGCACTAGCGCAGTGCGCCACCGGGCCGGCCCTCTGGCTTTTCTTAAATCATTATCTTATTGGCTACATATCTGAAATTACTTTCCAATGAAAGAACCAAGTGACTACTAAAAGAGCTTTTGTTCAGTTCAGTTCAGATGGGCCCCTAACTTGCTCAGGGTTGCTGTGAGAACTGATTGAGTCAACATAGGATTGACTGACTGAATTAGTTAACCCATCAAGAAGAGTATCTAGTTATCATACAATAAGCACAGGACAATTAGCTATTATTACATTTCAGTTAAAAAATTTATGATCATCTAAAAAGATTTTCTCACATAGATTTTACAGCTGTCAAGATTACAAGTTATATGTCCAAAGACCCATATGAGCTTGGAGTATGTGCTGGTACAGAGTAGGCATTCAGATATTTCCTGAATAAATGAAAGAATCTGACAAACACTTTCAGAGGGCAAAGGACCCCAAAGACTATCTATCCTACATACTCATCACTGAAAAACAGACCAAAACACAAAAAGTTCTGCTTCTGAAATACAGATGCTCCTTGACATACATGGGGTTACATCCCAATAAACCCAGTAAGTGGAAAATACCATAGGATGAAAATGTGTTTAATACACCTAATCTACAGAACACCTTAGTTTAGCACAGCCTACCTTATATGTACTGAGAACACTTACATTAGCCTACAGTTGGGCAAAATCTTCTAACACAAAGCCTGTTTTATAATCAAGGATTGAGGGCTGACCAGTTAGTCAGATGATTGGAGCTCAGCATTGTAACACCAAGGTCAAGTGCTTAGATCCTGGCACCAGCCAGCCGCCAAATACATATATATTTAAAAATGACATATTGAATATCTCATGTAATTTATTAAATGCTATACTGAAAGTGAAAAAACAGAATGGCTGTACTGATACTCAAAGTATGGTTTGTACTGAATGCATATAGTTTTCAAGCCACGGTAAAGCCTAAAAATCCTAAGTCAAACCTCCCTGAGTCAGGGACCATTTGTATATCATAAATATAAAAAAATCATACTTTTTTTTTTGACATTGTTAACCTACAAATAAGAATAACAGAAGTGCTGCAGAAATAGAGGTTAGAGTCCCTACCATCAGAGTTCAATATGAAGGGTATGCAAATAATTACTGTAAAAACTAAGTAAGTGCTTTTAACAGCAGATATGCACTAAGCTAAGCTCCCTGAGAGCAGAAACCAGCATACATGTTTCTGCAATCTCTGCACCTAGCACCATGCCTGGCATATAAAATGGGGTCATGAATGAACGCACGTACACTATGAAAGTGAAGACAATATAGACTAATGACCAAGTACTCTGAAGAGAGGGCAGTGTTTTCACAAAGCAGGGACCATCTAATTTGGGTGTAGCAGGGTGAGGAGGAATTTACCAATTGGAGCTTGGAGCAGAAGAGAAATCAAACACCAAGAGACAAAGATTGAAAGGGCATGCAGGCTGCAAGCGACAAGCTTAGTATGACTGTATGGAAGGTCACTGAAGGAGATGAGACTGCATGTAGAAGTGGAGTCACGCTATCGGGAGTTTGAGATGCTATTACATAGGCAGTAAGAGCAGTTACGGGATTCTGAAGTGCAGTATGAGTAGATCTACTTTGGCAAGAGCGTGTGTTCAGGGTAGTAAAACTAGAGGCTAGAAGTTCAGTTTAAGGTGTCATTACTACAGTTGAGGAAAACGATAGTGACAGCTGGATTTAAAGCACTGTAATATTTACCCGGAACCTTTGGTGGCTTCACACCACTTTTTGCAAACTAAAAATCTACCAAAGAAACCTGGCTGGGTTTTCATAAGATCAGGCTGTTCAGAGGTTCTCTCACTCCCAGCAATGGCACCGACCATCTTCCCTGACAGTGATTACTGCACTAACTTATCCTTAGAAAAGAGCTAGAGTGTCATCTCTTGGAAACTGAAGCATCAAATTAGATATTTTTTGGAGGCAATCACATTAACTCTACACAGCCTTCTAGTGTCTGCATAACTCAACCGAGCATAATTTTTCCACAGAAAAGCCTACCCAGAGTTTTGGAAAACCACGCTGGCCTAAGCCTAGAGATGGAGGCCTAGTAAAATAAAGTGTTGTGTGTTTATAAGTTAAACTCTACCGGGACCGCAGTCCGGTAGACACCGCTTCTTACAAATATTAAAAAGCCTCAAACACAACTTTATAATAAAACCACCCCTGCTGGTAGCAAAACAAGCGGACAAGGCCAGGGTGAACCTGCCTCCTAACCCGGAGAAAACGCGGAGGGCAGGGCCGGGCAGGGCAGACTCTGGGTCTTCCGTACGCGGGACTGTCCTGCAGCCCACACGACGGGAAGCCACTTTGGAAACAGCAGAGCAGGACATCGGGCGGGCGCGGAGGCCGAGCGGCCGGTACAGGCCGGAGCGGCAGCAGCATGAGCCGAAGAACGTCCCTCGCGGGGCTCGCGCGCCCGTTCCGCGTCTCCTCCCGCCACCGGCGCCGGCCTCGCTGCAGTGGTCGCCTCTGCCCGAGCCCTCAGAAAAGAGAAAAAGCAAAAAGGCTGTTACCTGGAGTCACCGAAGAGACCATTACGGGGCCGCAGAGACGAAGTTACACCGCGGGGGGCCCAGACACCCGCCACAGCGACCCTCCTCGACCCCACCGAACCCCTGGCGCGCATTAGTTATGTCACTTCCGCCAGCTCCTCCCTCGGCTTCAGCAGGCGGCGCGCGCTAGAGAAGCGGCCATGAGAAGTGTGGGCGTTCGGTCACTTCCTGTGTTTTCCTGGGCGTTTTCGCTTAACGGAAACAAGAGGCGGGTGCCTCAGGAGTTCCGGGGCGGGGCCGCGTTGCCATAGGTTTTTCTAATTGGTCCCCGAGGGATATAGGAAAGATACTGATTTTTAAATGTTGATTTTATTTTTAATTTTTTTTAACCAACCATCTGTGCTATCTTTGGCAAGTTACTTGACCTCTCCGCCTAGGTTTCTTCTCTTGTAAAATTGAGTAATAATAGCACTTACCCTTCAGAGATGTGAGATTGGAGTAAATGCATCAATGGTTCCTGGCACACTGGAAGCACGTGCTCCTTTTCACGTTAGCAGTGAATGTTAGCTAATCTTCAAACATGCAGAATGATAAGAAAAACAAAAACATATGGTCAGTGTTTACAGATGCATTTATATTTTAATTCTGCCACTACCATGTCTTGCACTCTTTTCACTTTGTCACAAGAGACTGTGGGTAGTTGTTTCTTAGTCTGCTTCCTGATGCTTGATTAGATTCCAGCATACCCTGATTTCTCCCTTCTGTGGTTCGTTTGTGCATCATCATATATTGCGCTGCTTGTTTATTTTTTATTTTATTTTATTTTGTTGTATTTTGCATTATCAATGAGTTCCTTAAGGATAGGAAACATTTTATACTGTTTTTATGTCCAGGACATACCTATAGAGAGACCTGAATAAATAGCATATTTCTCTGTCTGTACCATTAAAGAAAATACTTTGTATATCCTTTGTTTACTTTAAAAAAATATTTTCTGGTTCCAGAATTGCATGTATATATCAGGTAGTCCATCCTATATTAGCTAATTGCTTGCTTGCCTGCTTGGATTTATGAATAAAAGCATAACATTAATATAAGAAGGTGCATAGAGACATGTACAGCTTAACAAATAGTTATAAATCAAGTAAAGAAACAGAATATTGCCAGCACACCCCTCCCACAGCATGGCCAACATGCCCTTCCTGCTCATTGCGTGGCACTAAGTTACAGAGCATGTATTCTTTTGCTCGACTTTATGTTTATAAGACTTATCCATGTTGATGTATCTTCCCTGTGTCTCTTGACTAGCTATAGTTGGTTAATTTTCTTTGCTATGACATATCCCAGAGTATGACCATACCTCAATTAATTCATCCACTCTGCTGTTTATGGATATTTGGCTCATTTCCAGTTTGGGGCCATTAAGAACAATACTGGGCTAGCTGGTTAGCTCAGGTGGTTAGATCGTGGTGTTAAAACACTAAGGTCAAGGGTTCAAATCCCCATACAGCCCAGCCACCAAAAAAGAAAACAATGCTATATGAACATCCTTGTGCATGTCTTCTGGCTAGGATATAAACCTACGTTAGAGTTGCTGGGCCATAAGGTATGTATATATTCAACTATGCCAGGTGATGCAAATCCCTTTTCAAAATGCTGTACCAATTTACACTACCACCAACGGGGTATTTGAGTTTTCCTTGCTCCATAGTTTTGGCAATTTTTTTTTTTTTTAAAGATGACTGGTAAGGGGATCTTAACCACTGACTTAGTGTTGTCAGCACCATGCTCACCCAAGTGAACCACCCGGCCATCCCTATATAGGGATCCGAACCTGTGGCCTTGGTGTTATCAGCACCACCCTCTTCCAAGTGAGTCACAGGCTGGCCCTCACAATTTTTTTTTTTTTGTGACTGGTAAGGGGATCGCAACCCTTGGCTTGGTGTTGCCCGCACCGCGCTCAGCCAGTGAGCGCACCCACCATCCCGATATAGGATCCGAACCCGCAGCGGGAGTGCCGCTGCTCTCCCAGCGCCGCCCTCTTCCAAGTGAGTCACAGGATGGCCCCACAATTTTTTTTTTTTTGTGACTGGTAAGGGGATCGCACCCCTTGGCTTGGTGTTGCCCGCACCCCGCTCAGCCAGTGAGCGCACCCACCATCCCGATATAGGATCCGAACCCGCAGCGGGAGTGCCGCTGCTCTCCCAGCGCCGCCCTCTTCCAAGTGAGTCACAGGATGGCCCCACAATTTTTTTTTTTTTGTGACTGGTAAGGGGATCGCACCCCTTGGCTTGGTGTTGCCCGCACCCCGCTCAGCCAGTGAGCGCACCCACCATCCCGATATAGGATCCGAACCCGCAGCGGGAGTGCCGCTGCTCTCCCAGCGCCGCCCTCTTCCAAGTGAGTCACAGGATGGCCCCACAATTTTTTTTTTTTTGTGACTGGTAAGGGGATCGCACCCCTTGGCTTGGTGTTGCCCGCACCCCGCTCAGCCAGTGAGCGCACCCACCATCCCGATATAGGATCCGAACCCGCAGCGGGAGTGCCGCTGCTCTCCCAGCGCCGCCCTCTTCCAAGTGAGTCACAGGATGGCCCCACAATTTTTTTTTTTTTGTGACTGGTAAGGGGATCGCACCCCTTGGCTTGGTGTTGCCCGCACCCCGCTCAGCCAGTGAGCGGGAACCGGTCTGTATGTGGGATCCGAACCCTCGGGCGGGAGCGCCGCCATGCTTCCCAAGCGGCGCACTGTAGCAGTGCGCCACCGGGCCGGCCCCCCCACAATTTTTGATATAGCTGATTTTTTGGTACTAGTCCGTGTCTGTTGCTGAAAACAGAGCACCTCAGACTGGGCAATATATATGGAAATAAAACTTATTTCTTACAATCTTGGAGGCTGGGAAGTCCAAAGCCCAGAGAATGCATGTGGTGAGGATCTACAGAGAAACTGGGTATCACCTAGCGAAAAGGTAGGAGCAAGCCTGCTAACCTTCTCACACTCACCCACGATAACTCTTTTTATTTTTTATTTCTTATTTTTTTTTAATTTTTTAATTTTTTTAAAGATGACCGGTAAGGGGATCTTAACCCTTGAACTGGTGTTGTCAGCACCACGCTCTCCAAGTGAGCCATGGGCCATCCCTATGTGGGGATCTGAACCCGTGGCCTTGGTGTTATCAGCACCGCACTCTACCAAGTGAGCCACGGGCCGGCCCTATATGGGGATCCGAACCCGTGGCCTTGGTGCTATCAGCACCACGCTTTCCCAAAGTGAGCCACGGGCCGGCCCTCCACGATAACTCTTTACTCCATGAATGTATCAATCAATCCATTCAGGAGGGCTCACAGTCCAATCCCAAAAGCCTCATTCTTCAAATACCATAATTGGATTTCCCATCTTCTTAATGCTGTTACAGTGGGGGTCAAGTTTCCAACACATGAACTTTTGGGGGACACATTCCACCCACAGCAGCTAGACTTTTGAAAGTTTGTCCATCAGAATCGAATTCAAATGTTTTCTTAGGAAAAAACCCTTTACATGTCTTCCGCTTTCTTGGAATAGGCGGTGCCTGGCCGGGCCGGGGTGCCGCTGACCTCCTGGAGCAACGAGGAGTGCAAGATAGAGAAGCCCGCAGGGAGCGCGAGGAGAAGCCGGAAGTGGCGTAACTTCCGGCCGGAGCCGCCATCTCGCCGTGAGACAGCAGGAGCTGGAGCCGCCGCTGCGAGATGTTGTCCTCCGCAGTCATGTCCTGGGGACCCGGCAGAGACCTGGGGGTAGAGCCGCGCAGCGCCGCGGGCCCTTTACAGCTGCGCTTTTCGCCCTACGCTTTCAACGGGGGGTAAGAGCCCCGGGAGCCGCCGCATTCTCGCTCGCGCCCGCCCCCCCCCCCGCCTCGGCTCGTTCGGGGTCCCGGCGGGAAGGGCTGCCTTTGCCCCGCGGGCCTTGGTCCCCTGAGCCGAGTGCGTCCGCGCTGTCGCCCTGCCCTGGGGACTCCTCTGAGAATGCACCTTTCCTTCTCGTAGGGTCTGAGCGCATTTCTCAGGCCAGCAGGCGGAGGGGACGGAGAGGCTCACCATCTGCAGCTTACAAGTTGTGATTGGTCGGTCGGTGTTGTTAAGTGCACGGTTGTGTCTGTAGCCGAAATGTCTAATCACACATTTCTTTAGTCATTTTCTGCTATTGCAGGTAGAAGGTGGAGGGGCTGGCTGGTTGGCTCAGGTGGTTAGAGCGCGGTGTGGTAGCACCAGGGTCGACGGTTCGGATCCCCGTACCGGCCAGCCGCCAATTTTTTTTTTTTTTTTTTTAACTTTTTAAAGATGACCGGTAAGGGGATCTTAACCCTTGACTTGGTGTCATCAGCACCACGCTCTCCCAAGTGAGCTAACCGGCCATCGCTATATAGGGATCCGAACCCGTGGCCTTGGTGTTGTCAGCACCACGCTCTCCCGAGTGAGCCATGGACTGGACCGTGGCCAGACTTATTAATTTCATACGTCAGTGCCTCCCCCCCCCCACCTAAACGTTTAACTTAAGTTCAGAAAAAAATAAGAGACTTTTTACTATGTGTCTTCTTGGCATGTTACGTTCAGGTTGTTTTTGTTTTTTAAATTACTAGCTTTATCCTAAGCAATACTTTTCCTTGACAGTACTCTAAAGAGTTAAGGTGTAAAAAGACGCTCTATTCAGTACTTTTTGACAATGAAGAGCTGTAAATTGAAACAGTGGTCATAGTTTACCAATCAAACTTTGTGCCTTAAAACATACACACCCAATTCGAACAAACAAGAGGTTCTTTAAGAAAACGAGAAACATTAATCAGGTCCTTATGAATTTGAAATATTAATGCAGAAGTTTGGTGTATGTTAGAGAATGGGAAGACTGATTTTAGCTTTGGTTCTGTCGCTAAAGGTCAGTGTGGTCTTTGGGTGCCTCTCAACATCTTGAATCTAAATTTCCTTATCTTCCTTAGCTTCTTCATAGTTGAGAATCAAGAGAAACACATTTTGTAAATTGCAAGCACTTATCTTATTTAATCTTCATGAGAGGTGAATGTTAGATGGTATTAGCCCCATGGAGCACCTCTAGAAGTTAGACTGTACACAGAGCTGATGTGAAGTTGAGCCAGGACTTGAATTCATAGCTCTCGCCACTGAGTTACGTATGTATGCTTTTGCATTGAACTTCTTAACACTTCCTGTAGTTAAATTGTAAGGTGGGCTGTTAGACCCATTTCATAAGGCAGTTATAAATTCGTTTTTTTTAGAATTAAGCTGGCCTGTTCAGGGATGGATAGAACCCTGGACCTTGCTCTAACACCATGCTCATCAGCACCACACTCTAACAACTGAACTAAGCAGCCAGTCCATAAATTCGTTATAGTTAGAGTTTTCAAAGTGTTCAGTATTCAGTACTCATTACTCTCTTTTTAACACTTTGTAATTCAGCTTAAGGCATTGCTATACTAAAACTTGCTTACAAGTTTCTGATTATTCAATCAAGTTACCTTTTCTCAATTTTTGTTCTTTTTCTTCAGTTGTTATTGCAGCTGGTTCTCAGGCAGCCTTTGCTTCTACAAAATGAGCCTTAGTTCTCTACCTTTTTCTACTCTAACTCTTTAAATGTGGTTAAACCCCAAATCATTAGCCTCCATCCTTGTCACTCAGCACTCTCAACATCTCTCATCCCTAGGAGGATAATTTCCAAGTCAGTTTCTGTAATTCTGGCTCCTTCAATAAAACATTTCTACCTGGATGTTCTTTTTTTTTGATGCCTTAATTCAAATTTTTATTTTAGCACATCCTTAGGAGATTTAAAATACTCCAGAGCCCTGCTTACCTTCCTTTGTAATATGCTAAAATATCTCAGTCATGCACTTTATTACATTAAAACACAAAGCCAAAGAAAGCTACCTGTCCATGCACTATTCCCAACCCCCATACACCACAGGACTACTTTTTCTGTGGTGGATCCATGTGGCTTTTTATTTGATATTTTCAGTTTGTGTATTATTCCCAGTCAAGTGTTCTGTACTGGAATGCTCTGTCCAGTCACAAATCCCAAGGATATTTCATCCCAGCCTATCCAGATGAACTGCCAAATACCATCCAGATAATCTGCATTCAAATTGTTCCCAGTTCCCATTTTTAATCTTAAATTTCTCCAACGAATCTACCCTGGACAAGTACATACTATTACAAGGTACTATAAAAAAATAAGTTTAAGCTTTTTTCACTTACCTTCAGTCTAATGTGGAAGGCAGTTGCCTTTCTACTGTCTCAGAGCTCACTTATCCCCTCCATAAGGCCTTGTATTAAGATACATTAAAACACCGTTGTCTTCTAAATCGCTAACCACCATTACATATAGCTCTGACTTCCTTGTGCTCTGAAAATGCTGAATAACCTCCACCATTTTGAGCATATAGTAACTAAATTTAGGGCAATAAGTCTTTAAGCCACTTAAAAATACAAGAGTACAAATCTGCTTTTATTTATTCACTTTTCATTAATTTAAATCCTTGAGGGGTACAGTATCAAATGGATTCTGTATCCAATAGCCTTAGCGGGAAAGTTGCTTCGGAATTTGGCATGAACCATTCCACTGTTTCCATGGGCACAGGTTACCTTTCCCCAGATTGCTCTGGTTTTGTTTGGTTTGCCACCAGGAATCACCGTGTTCTTTGTTTTGTAAACATAAGCACATTTCTTGCCCAAGTAGAATTCAGTTTCATCTCAGGCATAAACACCTTCAGTTTTAAGAAGAGCCGTGTGCTCCTTTTGGTTCCAGAGACCCTGCTTATAGCCAGCAAAGGTGGCTTTGGACCACAGCCTTCCACACACATTTGCCTTTTAGAAGTCCTGTTCCCAGCAGGCCTCCACAGGCTGCAAGATGGCAGAGAGAGAAAGGCCTCTACCTGGGTTTTCTGCTCTCACCATAACTCAAGATAATAAAACAAAAAGCAAGCTAATATTTCTCTCAATCTCCTCTCCTCCTTTAAAATATTCCTTATAATTATGCCATCATTCCGCTCATCCAAGTTTAAGATCTTGGATGTTGTCATTAGTTTTCCCAGTTCCTGACATGTTTAGGTGATACAAAAACTTGTCCATTTAGTGTGCTTGTAATGTTTTCTTGGATTTACCCAGTTTCTTCCTATTTACCCTGCTACCTTTCTATTGCATTCGTCTTATTGGAACAGTGCCTGTCCCATTTCACATATTAACATTATCAGAGTAGTCTTCTTAAAACCCCACTTTGCAAGTGGAACTTTTCTCACTCTTGCTGGAACCTTCATGGTTTCCAGCAAAAATGCCCAAATCTTTAGCTTGGCATTTGGGATCTTCTTTAGTAGGATTCCTGTCCATCGCATAAGCCTTAATGTCCCTCCACCCACACAAAAAGTGCCACCTGAATAAGTTGCTCGAATGTACTATTTGAATTATTACCTGTTTCTCTTTTCCCTCAGTTCTTATTACCTGGGATGCCATCCTTTTCTACTTTACAGGTTAAGCACAAATCCCACCACTTATGTTATGTGGGGCATTGTGCTAGGTGCTTTATGTAAATTATGTCACTTATTTATCACCATTGCTTTGTAACACAGGTACTGTTATCATCAACTTGCACTTGGAGAATTTGTCCAAGGTCACAGCTAACAAGTGTCAAGGATAGGTCTCTGTCTCAGGTCAATCTCAGGTACTTAGTCATCACACTCTGCTGCCTCATGTGTATGCCACAATGATCAAAGCGAACACTTACTAGAGGACCAGCTATATACCAGGCACTCTTATAACAGCTTTATGATTATTAACTCATTTAATCCTTGTAACATCCTTGTGACGTAGCCGCTATTATGATCTCTGTTGTATATATGAGGAAACCGAGGCATTGATAAGTTAGGTAACTTGCCCCTAGCCTCATATCTGCTAAGTGAGAGAACCAGCATTAGAACCCAGACAGCCTGCTTTTGGAATTCATGCTGTAAGCTATCTTAAATGGTACAACCATAAAGGGAAAGGTTTGTTCTTTGTTCATTTGTCAACAGATAATTGAGTGTCTGCTGTGTACTAGACGTTATATAAGGCCTTGCATATAAAGAAATGAAAAAAGCTAATCCCCTTGTATAGCTTGTGTTGTAGTACCACTGTCTATACAGTCAAGGGCACTGACATGGTGTCTAGTTGTTTTACCATTATCAGTACCTTGCATAAAGTAAGTATTTAATTTTTTGATGATGATGATAATTCAGTGGCTTTTCTGTTACCTCCTGCCAATGAGCCTTTGCCCTGATTTTAGGCTTATGTTTTTTTCCGGATGACTTGTAGCAAGGGGTCCTTTCTCTCCTGATCTTTCCTCTTCCATTTGAGTCCTGTTCTTGCTCCCATCCAGTGAACTTTATCCCAGTATCTGCTGTGGAGCATGTATCCTTGTAGCAAGGGGTCCTTTCTCTCCTGATCTTTCCTCTTCCATTTGAGTCCTGTTCTTGCTGCCATCCAGTGAACTTTATCCCAGTATCTGCTGTGGAGCATGTATCTGGAGAGAGAGGATTACCATCATGAAGAATTAATTCATTTTCTTTCCTTTTTTCCTCAGTACTGTTTTGGCAATTGCTGGAGAAGATTTTTCAATTGTTGCTTCTGACACTCGATTGAGTGAAGGGTTTTCAATTCACACCCGGGACAGCCCAAAATGTTACAAATTGTAAGTAAATACTTCTAAGGACACATTTCACAACACCTTTGTGATAACTTAATCCTGCAAGAGATTCCACTTATAAATGATTTGTTTCATGAGTTTTTAGTTTGCCTGTTGTTAGCTCATTTTGTGTTTTTGCTAGAAAACAATTTTCTAAGTTGGTGTTTCCTAGTAATTCAGTGTGTGGTCTTTATAATATTTGCCATACCTAGGTACCAGCAGTGCTTTTGCTAACTAGTGGATTGAATTATGCCCCCGCAAAACTCATTGAAGCTTAAATTGTGTCCCCCTAAGTTTTATGTATTAGAAACTTAGCCCCCATTGTGACTGTTAAGAGGGTGGGAAATCCTGTTGTGGTAATTGAAAGGTGAAGCCTTGAAGAGGTGATTGGATTGTAGGACTGTGCAGTAGTTAATGGATTGAACATGGTGGTCAAGTACGTGGTTCTGAAGGCTTTTAAAGAAGGGGAGAGTCTGTCTCTCTCTCTCTGCTTCCATCATCTTGCCATATGAGACCCCTGGGTCACTATTGCCACCACTTTAGACTTCCCAGTGTCAGAAACTGTAAGCAATAAATTTTGTTTTTCTTTACAAAATACCAAGTTGCATGTATTTTGTTATAAGCAACAAAAATGGACTAATATAGTAACGTAAATGTTTTTATGCCAGTATTGTGAAAAATTTCAAATATATAACAAAGGTAATAGTGAACACCCATATGCCATCACCTAGATCTTACCATTAGCATTTTACTGTAGTTACTTTATAGCACATATCTTTCCATCCCTTTATTCATTTGTCTGAGTCCATTTTGTGCTGCTGTAACAGAATACCACAGACAAGATAATTTATAATTAACAGAAATTTATTGGCACATGATTCTGGAGGCTGGAAAGTCCAAGACTGAAGAATTGGCATCTGGCGAGGGCCTTTGTGCTACATCATCACATGGCACAAGGGCAAAGAGAGGGAGTGTGAGAGAGAGTGTGCAAGAGGGGGCCAATCTACTCCTGGATTCTGGAGGCTGGAAAGTCCAAGACTGAAGAATTGGCATCTGGCGAGGGCCTTTGTGCTATATCATCACATGGCACAAGGACAAAGAGAGGGAGTGTGAGAGAGAGTGTGCAAGAGGGGGCCAATCTACTCCTATGCTGATGAGTTTCGTTCGTTCATTCGTGAATGTGGCGCCCTTATGACCTAAACACGTCTTAAAGGTCTCACCTCCCAGTACCATCACAGTGGCAATTAAATTTCAACATGAGTTTTGGAGGGGACAAACATTTAAACCATGACACCATTAATCTGTTAAATGTTTTTTAAATCTGCCCCCCCCCTTTTTTTTACCTGAAGCGTTCAGTTTAGATACCCTAAGCAATTATATTTGTGGCTCAAAGTTTTAATGGGCTAGCCATATTTTTTCTAAAACTGATGAAAATCCATATATGTTGAAAGAAAGAACATCTGTGTAAGTTACTCAAGTGCATCTTGCACATTAGCAGTGGTTCGTATTTAATAGTTTTGAAAATGCTTGTAAATGGTCATTAGTTCCTAGGTTAGTCACAAAAGCCTATTAAACCTGAATTGTGGTAGGAATGGGATTGATGAGGTTTGGGTCCTTTGGACAGGACCTTGTGATATTGCAGGGACTAGGTGAAGAAGAGACAGCTCTGTCCTCTGTCCTAGTGCCAGGAATGGCTCACATCTTAACCTAAAAAACTGTTGAAGTCTGTCTTCATCACCCCAGTTCTTTTTCTGTCCACTTCTTTCATCTCTTTCTCCTCTCCGCTAGTTTCATTGTGCTTCCATGTTACCTTTTTCCCTCTTTTAAGATGTAAAATTTAATTTAAAAGCAGTATTATAAGTAAAATTTAAAAAAATAATATAGATACCGTCCTTGTGCAAGCTTTAGCTCACCTTGGTAACATCTGTTTTAGTGTGTGTGCTACTGAAGTGAACACCCATTCTTTTGTTATGAAATATTTTAGGTAGATAGAGAATATTAACAAATACCTATGTACTCCTTATCCCATGCCCTTTGGAGCTGACCTAGAGCCAAGCGAGCCTCTTCCTGGCCTATTTGATTCTCTATATTCACTCTTTACTTTTTGCATGAAAACTCCCATTCCTTTGATGCACCTGGATATTTGGGAAAAGCTTCTTGAAGTTCAAAGATTTTGTCCTTCCCCGTTGGTATTGTCAACCCATCTTGGTAGTAAAGGCAGTAAAGCCGTATGGGAGTTTGGAGGTTTTTAACTCTGCAGTGAGGTTAGTTGTAGGGATGGATCAGGAATTGTTGGTGTTGACCCCAGAGGTGTCAGTGGCTCCCTAGTAGGACAAGTATGGTTTGTATGTTTGTGTGAGTCATTCATAAATCTCCAAAAGGAAGAGTTTATCATGTGGTCTCTGCTAAATATTTCTTGACAAGATTGGTTGAAGTTTTCTTATAGTGGTAGAAGGATTTGAGAATTTTTGAGATACAGGGTTGAATTTGTATGGATGTAGTAAAATTTAATCAGTTCCTTACTGATGGACATTTTTGTTTTGTTTGGGGGAGCTATTAAAATGTATTCTCACAGGTAAGCTTAGATCATATCTTTACAAATTTATATGAGTATATTGATGGAATAGATTTCTAGTGGAGTTATTGAATGAAAGTGATGTGCATTTAAATTTTTACTATATGCTGCCAAATTATCCATCTAGAAAGTTAGACCAGTTTATACTGAGTCCAGGTTTCTGAAGAGTACCCATATTCCACAACCTGACCAGCATTAGATAGGCATTATTAGCCAGTTTAATCAGTTGAAATCATCTCTTGTTTAGATTTGCATTTCTGAGTGACATAGAGCCTTTTTTATGTTTATGGTGACTTGTGTCTTTTTTTCCTGTGGCTTACGTGTTCACAGAAGTTTACCCATCTTTCCATCATGTTTTGAATGCTTTCCTTATTTGTAGGAATCGTTTATGGACTAAGGAAATTAAAATTAGACTTTGGTTGTATGTGCTACCAATATTTTAACTGTTCATCACATTTTTCTCTGTAATTTTAAATTTTTAGATGTCAAATTTGTGAAACTTCTCTGGGGCCCTTGGATTGTATTATATTTAAATCAGCCTCCCCCAGCCCAAGATTGTTTAAAAAAATTCACCCATTTAATTCATTCATAGTTGCATTTTTTTATTGTCTTTGATCTACCTATAATTTATTTGGCGTACAGTGTGAGATGTAGGTATACATTCCACCCCCCCACCCCACCCCAAAAAAGAGCTGGGTAGTTGTCTCATTACCATTTTGGGAATAATGGGAATAGAGTTTTAAATTTAAAGTTGCCCAAGACATGTTTTGCTTTACTGTCTAACCAAAACAACTCAATTTCCTGAAATGTGCTTTTTACAGAACAGACAAAACAGTCATTGGGTGCAGCGGTTTTCATGGAGACTGTCTTACCCTGACAAAGATTATTGAAGCAAGACTAAAGGTAGATGCTTTTATGTATGTCTACGCTATTAAAAACTAATAAAAATTCATGAGATTCTTTTAAGCCTACAGCATGACTGTTACTCAGAATATTTGGAGAAGCACTGGGTTAGCAGGTGAAACTATATTGTATCCTAGAAATGAAATGAAACCATTAATGCAAGATCTTTAAAGTAGCATAATATGAAACTACAGTACATTCCACTTGTTAAAATCTCTATACCATATAAAGGGTTGGTTCTCTGTTGTTTGAGAGGTAGCCTAGGAGGGACACTGCTTCTGCAGATACTCTTCCCTCAGAAATAAACAATATATGCGTTTCTGCGGCAGGAGATAGCCCAGGCAGGCTTTTAGACATGAGCTTGGCTTGGAAAACCATCCATTGGCATATTTTTCCTCTTCACAGCATAGTGATCTTAGTTGGCAGGACTTGTGAACTCAAGTAGGAAGGAATAAGCCAGGAGCTTAGATGAGAGGCACAGAATAAACCATTGACTCCTGTCACCCCACAAGCTTCAATGGATAGCTAACTAACAGAAGGTTTGACATGAAAACATTAGGGGTGATCATGTTCTTTTTTGCCCATTAGTCTAATATATTGTCTTCCCAAGATCCTATTTTGGATACTTGTGTTCCCCACCATAGATGCTTTGAGGATAAAGACCACTGTTCTGTATTAGGATCATGCACATTAAGGATGGTACCCTTATATCTTCTGTTCTCATACGTGTCTGCTCTACAAAGAGAGGGACTTAATATCTGGGACTGATCAGGGGTCAGCAGACTTTTATCTATAAAGGACCAGATAGTAAATATTTTCAGCTTTATGGGCCATTTGGTCTCTGCCACAGCTACTCACCTCTGCTGCTGTAATGAAAAAGTAGCCATAGACAATATGTAATGAATGAATGTGGCTGTGTTCCAGTAAAACTTTACAGAAACAGGCAGTGGGCTGGATTTGGCCCACAGTCTATAGTTTGTTGACTACGGGTCTAGATGCAGAGAGAAGGAGAGAGAGATTTGGAACACTCTCCCCAGGTCACCTTGTATGCCCTGTCTGCATTTGCTCTTGAATCATTGGTGCCTGTGATAAGGGCAGCATGGAAAGCAGGGTCTTTAAACCAGAGAGCTGAGGGCAAACGCAGCATACTTTTCCTTAAAATTTTTATATCCCCAAATTATAGGGTGTAATAAATAATTTTATCTTACTGGTATTGAGTTTGATCATGAAGGAAACAGGCATGCTGTCCCCTTTCACTGAGATGTGCACTTTGTACACCGTTTGTTGTTCTAGTCTATAATCCTATCTCTACATGCCTGTGATTTTTATCAATAATTGCAGATGTATAAGCACTCCAATAATAAGGCCATGACTACGGGGGCAATTGCTGCGATGCTGTCTACAATCCTGTATTCAAGGCGCTTCTTTCCCTACTATGTTTACAACATCATCGGTGGACTTGATGAAGAAGGTACAATTCTTTCTTTCTGGAAAATGGAGTGGGGTGGCATTTCCTAGATGTGTGTGTTTCCATCCAGAGTTGAAAAGAACCATAAACAACATGTAGCCCAGTACCTTCATTTTCTGAAAATGAAAGTGATGAAGATACTGAAGCTAAAAGGAGGAGAAATGACATTTAAGGGCACGCAGCAAGTGGTGTATTAAAGCTCTAATAGTGAATGTTTTACTGTTTGCACAGGATCTTGCGTGAATTAGTAGTAGATAATTTGCCTTTTTATCTTACGGAAAGAAATCGGACCTAAAGAAGCTTGACCTAAATATGATTCTTAGTAATGACAATTTATTAACAAACATACTTCAAAAAGTTTTTGAAAAGTGATGTCTTTAAAGTCATTTGGGTCATTAAATGACCTAGAAGTCAGTAAATACATGCATTTTCCCCGGAACCTTTTTGAAACACATCTTATTTTCGGTCATAGACCAGGAGTGCCTGAGAAAATCAGTCTTGTTACTTGACATTTTTGACCCAAAGCTACGTTACCCTATCATGGGCATTGATGTTTTCCACCAGTTCTGATTTGGATTGGCTTTTGGTTGCTTCGAAAACCAAATACATTTTCTCAGGACAGATCTGTGCAACTGGGCCGGCCCATGGCTCACTCGGGAGAGTGCGGTGCTGATAACACCAAGGCCCCGGGTTCGGATCCCATATAGGGATGGCCGGTTAGCTAATTGGGTGAGCGTGGTGCTGACAACACCAAGTCAAGGGTTAAGATCCCCTTACTGGTCATCTTTTAAAAAAAAAAAAAAAGATCTGTGCAACCATTTAAAATAGTGCATTGCGGGCCGGCCCGTGGCTCACTCGGGAGAGTGCGGTGCTGATAGCACCAGGGCCGCGGGTTCGGATCCCATATAGGGATGGCCGGTTAGCTAATTGGGTGAGCGTGGTGCTGACAACACCAAGTCAAGGGTTAAGATCCCCTTACCGGTCATCTTTATAAAAAATAAATAAATAAATAAAAATAAAATAAAATAGTGCATTGTGATAAGAAGTTACAGAAATGCCTGGATGAGGATGTCGTTGGAGTAAGTTCATGTTCTGTGTTCCATCTGGCTAAACCTGTGGCTGGAATTGCCTCAAAAGTGGCAGTAGGGGAGTTCCTATAAGAGACTGCCCCAAGGCCAGTTGGGATTACAAAGAAGGAAGCACTCAATGCCAGGGTGATATTATGGTAACTTACATAGAGAGTGCTGCAGTGATTGTCACTACGGATAGCAAGAAAAGAAGTTCCACCTAGGTATGTCTGCAATGAAGAGGTCCAGTTGTAGAGTTTATGTGAGGGTTTAAGGAATTTGGCTCAGGCCCAGGGCTAGTTTCTACATGTTTACAAACAGCATTAATCTCTCAGTGTTTTCAAGCAGCAACCTAAATAGCTTTATCAGTGCCTGGGAGTGTACAAGGCCTGACTTCAGTTCAAGCTTCCATGGGAGAACAAGCAGCTGGCCAGGTCACAGAATGGTCAAGGCACTATGTGTTCCTCAGGCAGGACATAGAAAGCGAGGGGACCTGGAGACCCTACAATCTGTGAGGGGAAATTCTGGGTAAGAAGGGGTCTGGCTTTTCTCAGCTCCTTATCTCTCAACGAGGTTTTTTTTCTGTCCCTCTCTGACCCCTCATTTTATCTACAGTAGTTTAGGTATAGACAGATTGGGTTGACACAATTTCTTTTTAAGGCTTTCAAACTTACTTGAAAACTAAGAAAATGTAAAGTGTAGAAATGGTAAGTAGAAGTGAATTACGTGTAACCTAGGCAATTAAATTTCAGTCACAGATTAGCTTCCCTCACCTAGTGTGCTGGATGCTGCTGATGCCTCTTTTGACTGACTTTATGTCTGGCTTGAATGTCAGGTTAATAGATTCACATTTTAGCAACATCACAATAGCTACCATTGAATTTCAGCAAGCTGGACAATGTCCTTTGAGTTTTTCTGAGAGTCAGAGGGACTAATCTGGGAAAGCTCACATCTGTTGAACAGCAGACCCAAGATTTGGGTTTGGGCCTGTATGACTTCAGAGCCATGTTCTTTGGTTTTCATGGGACAGTGTTTCAAGTTTTGGTGGTATTCTCAGGTGTGTCTAGAACTGTCTTTCTAATCTTTCTCTTTGTTTGGTTTGCTTTAATTATCCTTTAATTTTTATTATATAGAGGAATTTGTGTATATAATAAAGCAGTCTTCTGCCTTCTTTTTCCATTGCCCCAAGACAGTTTTCAGCTCTTTTACATGTATTTTCCAAAATACTGTACTTGTACTTCATTCTTTTAAGAAACCATCTTTTGGTGTTTTGTTCTGGTAGGTGATGGTATCTTTTGTGGTATCTTTTGGTTCTCAGCTCTTTTGTGTTCTCTTCCTCATGAGCATCCTTCTACAGGAGGTACACTTTTGATAAAGTACATATTTCATATTTTTATTATAACCAGATAAATATTGATCTTTGTTGTACCAAGTAGTACGCTGTTTCATTCCTTATACAACTTTTGTTTTTTCTGTAAATATCTAATGGGCTTGGATTTCTTTAAACATTTTGTTCTTTGCACGCACTCTGAATACGATTCATCCCACAGTCAAAGCTCGCATGATCTGTGGACCCCTCTGCCTCTTGTTCCAGGATGGACCAGTTCCTTTAGGCCTACCTTGCTGCCATCCTGGGGCTTCTTTGGCTATCACCATGGGAGTTTTTTTTTGGCTTATTCTTGGCATTGGATTCCCTGTTTCCTGGATCTCATGCTTTCCTCTTGGTTTATTTCCTTATTTTGGTGGTGTACATCTCCCATGAGATTTCTGAAAAAGAAAAAAAAAAAAATCAGGGGACCTTTTTTGAGAGTTTGCTTTTAGGATCTTTACCCTGGTGTTCTAAAATTTCATAGTGATGCGCCTTGTCTAGGGTCTTTTCTCATTTATTGTGTCCTCTTTCTTTACCTTTTTCTCTCCTCTTCCTCCAACCCCCTTCTTTTCCTCCTCTTTGCCTCCCCACCTTCTCCACAAATACCTGGGTGATTACCCTATATTTTCTTATTTTTTGCCCTACATATTGTCTATCTCTTGGTCTTTTTATATTCCTGATGAAGATTTCCTCAACGATAACTTTTCATCCATTACTGAATGCTTTTATTTCTGGTGTCATTAATTTCCAAGAGCTTTTTCTTATTTTCTGGCTCTATTTTTATTTTTTTAATTTTCCTGGTTTTGTTAGATATTTTTATACTTTCTTTGACATTTTCTTGTGTTCTCTGCATTTTGTCAGATTGCTTTTTTTCATTTTGTTTACTTTTGGCCTCCATCTTCTATGTTGGAGGCTTCCCTCAAATTTCTGTTGATTTTTGGCTGTCCATTCATATTGAAGAATAATATACCAAAATCTGATTGTAAAGGTCTGTGTTAGCGTGGCTTGTCAGCTGACAGGCTTCACCTGGGTGCTTAGGTAATCAGCATTTCCTTCAGATGAAGATTCCTTAAATCATTTGCCAGGGGTGGGGTGAGGGGAGAAGCCCTCTAGACCTATGAAAAGGAAGCGAGCTGGAGATCTCTGCTGAGCTTATGTCAGCTTTCCATTTTATGCTTTGTTTTTTTTCCTGCTCTCTACCCCTAGCTACTCTGAGCCTGGTGCCCCTAAGTCCAGAGCCTCTGCTAATGTTTTGAGACTTTGTCTCCTGTGTTGATGGAGGTGGGGACCTTCAGGACAGTGTGGTCAGCAGCCATCTTACTTGACCTCTGTGCCTTTACTCTCTTAGCCGCTGTCAGGCTTTTAAAAATTTTTACCCCCAGAGTAAAAATGGCTGTAGTTTTTCTGCAATGAAAATCGTAAGTACGTACATATTTATACACACACTCATGCACTGTTAAATAAGTAAGACTGTGGTATGTATGGTTTTTTGTAACCATACATTGGATATATTATCATGGAGATTTAAGCTAGTGAACATAGACACAGATAATGATTTTTAATGGCTGACTTACACAGTGTGTGGCTATACCATAATTTACCTAAGCTGTAAAGGGCATTTAGATTGTTTCTAGTTTCCTTAACATAAACAATACAATGATCATCCTTATACATACATTTTTATGTTCTTCTCTGATTATCCTTATCTTGTTGGAGTAAATTCCTAGTTAGTTATTGTGTCAGAGGAATTTTTTTCTCATTTTGTTGACATTACTGGCCTGTCCTTCAGAAATGGTGTTGCAATACACTTCTACCAGCAGAGGGCATGAGTACCTAATTTTTATGTATCCTTCCCAGTATCAGAATTAACACATTTTAAAGCACATCTTTGCCCATTAAATATTTTATTGTTTTAATTTATATATATTTGGGGGCATCTTTTCCTATGTATATTGGCCTCTTTCATTTCTCCTTCATATTAACCTTTGCTCATTTCCTTATTTGCAGTTTAGTCTTACTGATTTACAAAACCTCCATTCAACTGTGTCAGCCCTCTGAAAGGAATGTAGTAGGTGCCTCCCAAGAGTGTTCTTTCTTCTTACTTTTGGGGGATGTCTTTTGCTGCACAGAAGTTTCTGAGTTTCATACAGTCAAATCCATCAGTTTTTTCTTTATGGCATTGAGTTTCCTACATTGTTAGAAAGGCCTTCCCCATCCAAAGCTTACCTGTGTTTCTTTCCAGGAGTTGGCTGATTTTTATATTTTACATTGAAGTCATTGTGATTTGTGGAATTTATTTTGGTGAGGAAAAGCACTTCATCATGATTTGTGCCATTCTGCACTGGTGTTACAAATGTCTCTCTTGCTTTCCTAGGGTGTCTTGGAAGCTTTGCTTTTGGACATTTCCTGCCCTCTCTTGTTTGTTTTCCTCGAGTCTGTTGTGTGTGGTTTTCTGAGATTGGTTCTACCCTTGAGAAAAGCTTTTGCACCTTGTTTTACTTGTTGCCTGATGGGATCGTTCTTTTGCCTTTACACCTCATATCTCTTTCTTTATTAGTGTGTCGAGGTTAATGGACTGCTCACTGTGATCTTTCTTGTCCCAAGTTTGCTTCCAGCAAAAACACTTTCCCATGTTTTTTTAGGTGCTGCCTTCTCCAGCTGGGAATTCAATCATATGATTCTGCAATGGAAAAAAAATACACAAAGCTAACGGTTGCAGTTGTCCATGGATAGTAAGGAGATGTCTCTAGCTCATATCTCCTGGGGCAGCTACTAGAGTGTTTCAGCTCTTGTGTAATGTGTTTTCAAAATCAGTTACATCTTTTTAAAGTCATACCTCATAGATGGTTCATAATTTCTCACACCCAGAACACAGTTGTTTTTAAAAGCCCTTTTTTAAAATTGCAAAGTGACATGTTCTTTGTAATAAGCAATACAGAAGTGTGCAAAGTGATTCCCTTCTTGGCTTTCCTCCAGTCCTGTGCTCAAAGATAACCAACTACAGTTTATCTTTCCAGACGATGTGTGCTTATACACACATATATGCAGGTTTTTTATGCTTTTAAACAAAAGTAGGATCATACAATACACATTACAGAACTCTTCATTTTATGTTGTCTTGTGGATATGTTGCCTCGTCCCATCATAAGCACATAAGTCCTCCTCTTCCTAGGCTGCCAAATAATAGTAATCACTTGCTCTTCTAACATATAAGGAACACATTTGGAGTACTAGAAATTACCTTGGGTATTGTATGCAGGTTACCTCATTACCTCATAACTCCCTGAGGTGATCGTGTATATCATACCTGCGTCACAGCTGAAACAAGGCAGTCTGAGCAGGCCACATGGTCAGCATGTGGGGGACGCAGGATTCATGCCTAGGCAGACTGGCTCCAAGGTTTCTCTCACCTTTTAACCCTGTTGTGCTTTTCATTATGTGGGTATACCATTTTTCTACTAGTGGATTTTTGGTTGCTCGTAATTTTTTGCTCTTTTAAATAATACAGAAATGTCCTCCTTGTTCCTATTGCTTTATGTGTTTATGTAAGCGTTTTTGTAGAATAAATCCTATTACACAAGTGAGATTATCACTGGATTATGGGGTACATACTTTTCCATTTTGATAGATTCTGCTGCCAGATTGCTCTTCAAAAAAGGCATAATTTATGCTCACTTTAGAAGAGTCTGAGAGGTGCATTTCGCCATCCACTCCCATTTCTTTGTAACTTGTGTTAAGAATGGGTGAATTCAGATTCTGTTTTTCTCACCAAAAAAAAAAGTGATTCTTTATAACTCCAGTAGTGCAAAGCAAGTGGTTACATTTTAAGCAAAGGTAAATTTTTGTGGGTGGCATTTGTGTTTATATGAAATTCCTCCTTTATTAAAATACTGGTTTTTATAGGACTGATGCTAAAGAGTATGGTTACTATTAATTAAAACATGAACAAGTAAGTTTTCTGTGTGATTGCTCACATATTTAGCACTAGGAAAAAAGTTTTTTACTATTCTTTCACTAGGAAGATTTTAAACTATCAAGTCTATACAAAAACTATACTACTTTGTTTTTTAGGAATGTCATGAGGAGTTTTGGTCAGAATTTAGAGCAGGACCTATTAACCAGTGCATCTGTGAAACCACCTACATGTTGGGGGGCGGGGGGCAGTGCACAGGTTGGCAGTTGGTGACATTAGCTGAAGAGAGCATAAAGTTTCCGGTAGGCAGGTTAGCCACAGTATCTGAGCATCAGTGTGGGCCTCTTGGCTCTGACCACATTCCGAGTTCTTTTGGTGGAGGTGAGGAGCCAGGCTGTCTGCTGGGTGTCACCTGTACACAGTAAATGTGTTCTGACTGTTGGCTGAAATTTTAGCCAAGTTGGTAGTCCACTTTGTATCACAGTTTGACTGGATTTATTTTTACCATGATTTGGAATTGTGATCGGGATACCATCCTCATGGAGACTGTTTTCCGCTTTAAGGGAAGGGAGCCGTGTACAGCTTTGACCCGGTGGGGTCCTACCAGAGAGATTCCTTCAAGGCTGGAGGCTCAGCAAGTGCCATGCTTCAGCCGCTGCTTGACAACCAGGTAATGAGACTGAGTCAGGTGGTCGAGATGTTCAAGTGAAGTGCTTTCCTCCACGTTCTCCTCTTCATTAGGAGAAGGGAGAAACAAAGCCTTTCTTACAGATTACTGCGGGGTTTGTTTGGCTGGTTTGCCCTCCCACACCTTCCCATCTGTGTGTGTTCTAACAGCTCTGCTGGGGTTCTCACCTGCGCCCATGGCTTTGATTTTTTTCCTGTATTCTCATGACATCCACATTTTTTACATCCGCAGTGATTGGTCCATGTTTTCAATTCTCTCCTTGCCGTCTTTACCTGAAGGTCATGAAAATGTCTTTCTCCCCCTTACTCACCATTTCTTTGTCACTTAGTTGTGTATTCTAACTGCCAGGTGTATTTTTACATTTTCATTACTGCTCGCTAAATTCAGACCTGCATTACTGGATTATTGAGTTTCTTTCCTGACATCCTTTCTGCCTCCAAGCTCACTTCCCTGATGCACCTGCTCACTTTTCCAAAATATGTTGCATGTTGCTGCTCCTCTGCTTATTGCTTTTCTGCCACACACTCACCCTGCTTTTTTCTGAATGATATGTGTATTAGTCCATTCCTGTTGCTTATAACAAAATACACGGAACTGGGTAATTGGTAAGAAAATGAAATTTATTGCTAGGAAGTCCAAAATCTAGGAAACACATCTGGTGATCGTGTTGGGGGTGGCAGCAGTAACCCAGGGGTCTCACATAGCGGAGCAGAGAGAGACTTAACCTCTCGTGCTCTTCTTCTTTTTTTTTTTTCTTTTTTTTTTTTTTCGTGTCCGGCAACGGATTGCAACCCTCAGTGTCGCGCCCGTACCGGACCGGGACCGGCAACAGGATCGCAACCCTCGGTGCTGCGCCCGCACCTCGCTTCTAGTAGACTTAGTTGATGCCTGCTTGGGGCTCTATAGCTTTTCTTTCCTTCTTAGTTAAAGGACATTCTCTTGTAATACTGGCATATGTCCACCTCTCTAGATTATGTACTTCTCAAGAATTGGATCTTTGCTGGGGAATATTTGTCAGGTTTCCGGTATGTGTAATTCAGCTGGTCTGGAGGGGTTTTAGTCTGAGGGACATTTTAATTTTGTGTGATGTATTCGTTATAAATCCTCAGACATGGGAAGATATTGGGGGAGGCTTGAACCTTCCTTTATACTTACTGTCACGTGACACCTCATACGAATTTCCTGTCCACCAGGTTGGTTTTAAGAATATGCAGAACGTAGAGCATGTCCCACTGTCCTTGGACAGAGCAATGCGGCTAGTGAAAGACGTCTTCATTTCTGCGGCTGAGAGGGACGTGTACACAGGAGACGCACTCAGGATCTGCATTGTGACCAAAGAGGGCATCAGGGAGGAGACCGTCCCCTTGAGGAAGGACTGATTTGCGTGCTGTGATTATTAATCAGTTCAAAACGGAACTGTTGGGCAAATTTGTTTAATTAAAAAAGAAACCTGAAATACTCGTTTCATTATAATGTATCTCTAAGCAAGACTGATTTAGGAAGTAAAATTTCTTTTCATTTTCTTTATTCTTCCCACACTTTTCTACCTTTCAGAGGTTATTTTTGTATTTTAAGAATGAAAAACAGGTCATGTCGGGTTTTCCTTACATTTATGAGCAAGGAATTTGTTTGGAAAAGTTGACTTTTTTGGCCAACTCATCTTATGAAGAAGGCTCTTGATCCACCAGCTTGCCTGAAGGGGCCTCTAAACTACCCAGAAGAGGCAGTGTTTATTGGTGTTTTATTAAGACTTTAATGGATGTAAGTGGAATATCTTAAGATTTTTTCATTCCTGGGACTGTTAAGCAAGCAGTCCGGAATGACTGTTTTGGAGAAAAATCTTCAACCAGAATAAAAGAAAATAGTAAAAGCAAATAACCCTTGACATGGGCTTTGGCAGAAATCTGGGATAATTTTTACAAGCACTTTAGTAATGTTAAAATTGAGAACTAAATGTTGACAGAGTTTTAAAGAATTTTTTGTTTTAGAACTTTAAATACATTTTAACTCCATTATAATATTTGAGTAATTTTCTTTATGTTGAACAAGTCAAATTATACAACGTAACCTAGGAGTTATGATTTGCTTTGTAGCAGAACAACCTATGATGTAATGGGATTTTTAATATATTGGCAGTTAATCATAGAAACCACTTTTGTTTATTTTGCCTCTTGTTAAAAAGAATTTTGTTCAAATTATCAAAAACTAGTAGATAACATAAAAATTCATTCTGCAAACATATCTGTTAAATACAATCACTATCGCAAGTACTAGGGACACAATGGTAAGATCTTGTTCATATTTCTCTTAGGTGTCTGTATCAGGGTTCTTCAGAGAGACAGAACCAATAGGATATGGTGTATGGATTGATATGAAGGGAATTTATTAGGGGAGTTGCCTCACGTGATGATGGAGACTGGGAAGTCCTACAATAGGCCGTCTGCAAGCTGGAGAGAGGGCAGCTGGTAATGTGGTTCAGTCCAAGTCCACAGGCCTCAGAACCAGGGGAGCCGATGGGATCTCAGTCCAAGGTCGAAGGACGGAACAAGGTGTGGGGAAGGGAACTGGTTAAGTCCCAAGTCCAAAAGCCGTAGAACCTGGAGTTCTGATCCCCAGGGCAGGAGAAGAAGGATGTCCCTGCTCCAGGAGTGAATGCTTTCCTGTGCCTGTTCTCCTGAGCCGCCAGCTGGTTGATGGTGCCTGCTTACATCGAGTGTGGATCTTCCCCACTTAGTCCACCGACTCATAGCCAGTCTCCTCTGGGAATACCCTCACAGACAACCCAGAAATAATGTTTTACTGGCTATCTACAAATCCCTTAATCCATTCGAGCTGACACCTAAAACTAACCACGGTGACACAAACTGTAGACTATCCCACTCAAAGTATACATTTTTCATCCTTATGTAGACTAGGTATGTTTTATTTTTCTAAAGGATTGCCAAAATGTGGGGGTTCAACTTTTTACTGTTTTATATTCTATTTGTGTCTAGAATTTTCTATAAGATCCTCCCCTCCCAAGGTTTCTAGGGAAGTTCTACAAATAGAGTAAAGATTGATGACACATAATTGGTGTTTCATGATGTCTTTTTCCCACCTTCAGCTGTAAATTATTTTACCCTCCCTAGTATTCTCATAGATTACAAGTTTGGTCTCACTTTGGAAGTCAACACCGTCTTGTCCAGAATGTGCTGGCAGGTGGCTCCGAGGGCTAACTCAGACACCACATGTTTGGGTGGCTTTTTAGAAATATGATTTATTTCTACAGCTAGCCTTTAAGGTTCTGATTAGAAGGCTGCCATTTGTGTAGAGACTCCTTCATAAGTCAGATCTACGTTCCTCCCTGCGGTGCAGAATGAAAGGGTTTGAAAGAATCCGATAATATTAGAAATTGTTGAGGGAAAACTACTTTTTAAAGATGTTAGCCATGACTGCATTTATACACACTGAGTGCATGTAGATGTTTTTCTTTATCAGACAACAGGGCAGGAGTACTGTGCTGCTGCAGTCTGCTCAACAAGGCTGCTCCACGGGGTTGTGTTGCCTGGGGAGGTTAGAAACATGAGCTGAGTCTGTGACCAGCAAGTGCCACTCTTGTGCCTCCACATTTCACATGCAGCCATAGTTTCTGCTCTAGACACAGTGACTTTGCAAGCCTACTTGAGAGGCATATAGACAATTTAGTAGGAAAATGGTCTTTATTACCAAAATGTCTCAGTTATTACCATGATACGTTTCATTTTCCTGTGCTTTCTGTACCTGTAACCTTGGCGAGCCCTTCACAGCCCTAGAGTGTATATATGTTAACATGCTTCCCGACTCTAGGGTCTCCTGTTCCCTGTATTTGAGATTCTCGTAGTGTCACTGGTGGGTCCCCTATATCAGAATTACATAGGGCACTTGTTCAAAACCAGTTTCGGGGCCCACTCCAGAAGTTGCCCCAGTCTCTGGGCCAGGACATGAAAATCTGCATTTTTAAAATTAAATAGCCATGTGACTATTATGCATACACAATTTGAGAGTTACTCCTTTAACTCCTCAGCAGACAGGTTCACTCAGAGAAACAACCCCTATGAGATACAGTCACACATTATGGAGCTGGTTAGATCTACGTGAGCCTATTATTTCTGTTTGGTGCTGGAGCCTGAAACTCACTGTACAGGCTGTGGGAAAGGGGCAAGCTGTGTGCAGTGGAGCCCAGGACACCAGGCGAGCCAGCAGATACAGAACAGCATAGCTATATGACAGCCTGTGGTGCCCTGGCCAACTGAGCACAGGAGCAAGATGACTGCTGCCTCCCCGCGCCTTGCACATCTTGGGCCCATGCAGAGCAAACCCGCTACGGTTGTTCATACCTATCAGTGGTTTTCATTACCGCATAAAGTTCAGATATTGCTTCTGGGCCTTCAGATCTCTCCAGAGGTCAGCCTTGCCTCCCTACTCAGCTTCCTACCTCTTTGACATACTTCCTTGACTAGCTGGCTGCTTCATTAAGTGGCTGTGATGTCCTCGTTCTTATTTCAGTGATTCAACTAATATTGTCTGACTTCATTCAATGTCCCCTTGAACTTTGTATGTCATACCCTTTTAAGTCCGGATAAAGTTTTGTCATCTATACGGAGATTTTCCCTGCTTTTCCAGATTTTATAAATTTCTTTTGAGTGTCTATGAACTTGATACAGTTTATATTAAATAGTAAACTTGAGTTCTGTTCACCAGGATAAAGGGTGTGAGAGCATCATTACACCCACAGGATCACTACTGATCTGCCTGTTAATATTCCTGTGACGGTTTTCTCTCTTAGACAAGAAAAGTCTGTGTATCTATATGCATTTCAAGGTGGTGACTGTCTGTTTGTTACCTCCAATGAAAGAGGCCTGCAACCATGCGGCCATAAGCATCCTCTCATCCAGGCCAGGTGCCCACACCTCTGCCCAAACAGAGTTCCATCTGCACCTGCTCTGCTGTAGTGACTTTAGCTGCCATATTGCTCTCCCTGGTCAGAGTGGCTCCTTTGAAAAATATTTCTTCTCTAATGGGAAAATATTCCATCTGCACCTGCTCTGCTGTAGTGACTTTAGCTGCTATATTGCTCTCCCTGGTCAGAGTGGCTCCTTTGAAAAATATTTCTTCTCTAATGGGAAAATATTTAAAAAACAACATGGGGTGTGGATCTATGTCTGCAGAGCTGGCTGCTTAGAAATTATAGGTGATCTAAAGTGTCATCACCCCGCTTTGTCCTCAGGCAGACCAATGGCCTGACCTCTTCTGCAGTGAGACAGTACTGGAGAGTTGGCTGAGGTCCTGGTGAACGTGGAGACATGCCCAGGCCCCACATCTCTCTGCCAGAGGCCACCAGATGGCAGTGTTGATTCGTCCAGCCTGGCCACTCCACCTCTGTGAGGGCCACAGTTTGGTGCCGGTTTTCCCAATTCTCAGACTTCACTGAGTTCCTGTGAGGGAAGCTTCAGCCTAATTGTGAATCTCATTTAATAAGCTGGAAGGAGGGACACCGTGTCGATGCTCCTCAGCTCATCCTCATATCAAAATAGAAAGGACAGAAGGAGATAAACCCAGCAAAACTGGTAGTGATCTATACTGTGATGTCCTTGGTGTGTGTAGGGGCTAGAAGTGGGGGAGGAGGGGAGGGGGTCTGGTTGTGGTTTGGGGAGACACAAATCAGGACACAGAATTTTTCTGGACCTACATACTTTTGTAAGGAAAACTCTTAGCCAGAGGATACATTAAATGCTTTGTCCAGGCAGTTGACTAGTGACAGAACTGAGATTTATAGTATTTATTTTATTCGTCTCATCTCTCTCTCTGGGTTTTCTTTGTTCTGTGCTTCCAAGAAGTCCTTTTTGTTTCTTGTACTTCAATAAATTCCTTTCAAATGAACCTTGATGTTATGATGATCTAAGTACCCAAGTCTATAAATGCCATTGAGATTCTTGATTGAGGATTTTGTGCAGGTGGTAGTAGTGGAAAATTTCCGTAAAGTCATGAAACAAAATCTCTGATTGATAAAGTTATAGGTCCCAGGGGGTAGGCCACTTATTTCAAGTAGTGTTCAACTAGACTCCAAGAAAATGGAAGAAGAGACTTATTTTCCTCATATTTAACTCAGTTTGCCAGGAGGTGGCCTGTGCTGCCTTCATGTGCCACTAGCAGGAGTTCGATGCATTTCCCCGAATGTTACAGGTAATTTTGCTTTTTTCTCTTTTGCACAGATGAGAAATCAAGTCCAAGGCAGACCTGCCATAATTGAAGGTAAAAGGAAGCGTAGTTGTAATGACACTGTTTCCTAAAGCAGAGGTTGAAGCATGTTTTAATACAGTCTGACCAAATATTTGAACCTCAAAACACCAATGCTTGTCCTAGACTTGTTTGAGTCTCTATTTCATTTTGTTTTTCTTTTTAAATACTTCTTTTTAACTATTTTTAAAGTAATAGCTGGATTCTGTTTTTGTCTGCATTCTCAACTCTCT